AAAGCCCCCCCCCCCCCCCCAACCCCGGGGGGAGGCCTTTTCCCATCCTGCTTGGCGCTGTGTTTGGCTGACCATTGGTTGTGTGGGTATGGCAGTTCGATCAACTTTGGCGTGTCATGTTTGGGCAACACAAACGGTACGGAGCAATACGCCAACCTGGGGGACGGATTCGGCCTGCGCTCGCAAGGCAACTATGGTGGAGGCAACGGGGTCTTACGCTGGAACTATGGCGATACGACGTTCGGTACATGCAAGGAGTCGATTGAGGGAGATAATCACTTGCGCTGGTTCCTTCAGAACGGCACCGAGGCGTTCAGTGGCGCGGTATTCCTGGCGGTCTCAATGGAGGAATCAGCCGCTTTGGGGCATAAGATTCAGCTGGACGGGTATAATCGTGGCCGCGATTACCTGGTGGGTAATGCGACGAGGAATGCGACTACCAGTTGGGGAGGGTATACGTGGGAGACGAGGGTCGAGTGGATAGAGGCAGGTGTGTTGTTGAATGCTACGTCCGAGGGCGTCAATCATCCAGACGTGGCGCTGCCAGGTCAGCCTGTACAGGATGGAAGAGTGGCACTCTTGACGGTCAAGCAGATGCAACAGCCGTCTACCCGCGCAGCGTCGGGTGCGAGCACCACTCACAAAGTCGGATGGTCGGCTCCATTCCTTCTAGGCTTGATCGCACTCGTCCTATTCTAACCCCAACCCCAAACCACAGACTCTGTAGATTTAGACTTGTAATAGGAATCGCATATACACATTGTTGCTTGTCTGACCGATCTCGTGCAAGTCCAAGCAGAGGCACTTGCGCAGCTTCTGGTGTTCCCACGATCCATCACAAAGTAGGCTGGTCTGTTCCACTCGTACTAGATTTGATCGCACTCGTCGTGTTCCAAGCACAAGCAATGTAGACTCTCAATTCGAAATTCCATTCGAGAATTGCTCCTCGACTTGTAGCGATTGTCGCCGCAGTCCTTGCCGAGGCAGACGGAAATGGCAGACATCTTGATTCGACAAAAACAGCCGGGCTCGAACACGAAACGCGGACGCGGAAGAAACAGAAGGGTAGGGAGGAGGGCGAGGGCGAGGGGCAAAAAGGGGGGAAGAGCGAGGATGGATATCATGGTGCTTGTAATGGCGCTTGTTGACTGGCGGAGGCTGGCTGTGTGGGCGTGCGTAGCGTTGCGTTGCGGTGGAGGCTATGGTGGACTGTGCGACTGCGACTGCTACTGCGACTGTGACTGCGACTGCGACTGCGACTGCGACGCGCGGGCATGGCTGGAGAGGAAGACTAGAGGACGGTGCAGCCTTTCCTCTTGGAGCCGCGGCTTCTTTGGACGAGCGCTGCGCGGGTTGCGTGTTCAAAGACTTCGCGGACGCCCTCTCCGGTCTTGGCGGAGCACTCGAGGTAGCGTACGGCGCCGATCTTCTGTGCGACGGCCATGCCCTCTTCGGCCGAGACGGGGCGCTGGCTGGTCTTGCGGAGTTCGTCGACGATCTTGGGGTCGTGTCGGAGGTCCTTTTTGCAGCCGACGAGGATGATGGGGAGGTTCTGGCAGAAGTGGAGCACTTCGGAGATCCACTTTTCCTGCACGTTGTCGAGCGAGTCGGGCGAGTCGACGGCAAAGCAGATGAGGATGACGTGCGAGTCCGGGTAGGAGAGCGGACGCAGACGGTCGTAGTCCTCCTGGCCGGCGGTATCCCAGAGTGCGAGCTCGACGTGGCGGCCGTCGACCTCTACGTCGGCGACGTAGTTCTCGAAGACGGTGGGGACGTACACCTCGGGGAAGGTGCCCTGGTGGAGGTCGAAGAGAGAGAGAGAGAGAGAGAGAGAGAG